TTGGAATAGCCTCCAATCTCATTAGGAATATCACACCTTTCATGACATGCAAATTAATACACAAAATAGACAATACTAGATACCTAAAAATGCTTCAAAATCAAAGGATCGTATGTAGAATTATGTCTGTAAGAAATAGCTGACAACCTCCAATATCCTTACTTGGGTCAACATGACCAATCTGCAGGCAATTAGAGCATAGATCAAGTGGCTAACCAAATTATGAGATGACTAACTAGGATAAACAAGCTAGTTATAAACGAGTATGCTTCCAGTCGGCTACCATTTCTCCTGGCTTAGTATATTGTTGCATTATTTCATAAAGTAGGGTTCCTTGCTCTAATAATATCTGTGACATGACACACGAAAGCTTAGCCTAAAAATCAAATTCGCCCTGCGACCCATTAGCACCCGTAGCTGTGTAGTGGAGTGGTAACGTGTCTCTACGATATGCAAGACTCGATTTTGAGTCCCATTGGAAATGCCCATATGACTTAGGCGAGGTCGAAAATGCAATCTATCCTAAATGGCACAGTGAGACATGCTCAGATCACCGAAGGGAAAAATTACCTTAAGCGACATATCATGGCTTAGTTCTTATTCGGGATTTACTTATAATTTCGCAATACAAACAGTAAATATAAAATAAGTACCTCCGAAAGAAACTTGGTGACAAACTGACGAATGCTAGCCGATTTTGTTAATCCATAAGAACTATGACAGTTCAATTGATTGGTCTGATCGGCCAGTTCAGAAGTCAATTCCCGGTCAGCTAATCTGCGCAGCAGTTGAATAATGCAACGAAGCCGGGGCTTCCATGGGACTCGAAATTTATCTTTTTTAGACCAGTCATGTGTGATTTCCTTGTTATAGAAAGGACTATCTGTCTGACTGGCATCATGCGATTTCATGTCAACCTCAAATTTGCTGACTGATGTCGGTAAGGAGATAGAAGATGTACTTTGTAGGAGTAGGAGAAGAGATTCCAAGTGGGAGGTGACGTAATACACTGCATTCTCCATCTGAGAGGCACAGAGTTCCTCTAACAGGCGATATGACTTCTTACGAATGGTAAAAGATATTCCCTTTTTTCCCGGCTGAAAATAAAAAAGTTAAAAATACATGCAAGAAAATAAAGTAGAAGCTAGATTATATAAGGATATGAAGAAAGATTGAATTAAGGACTAGTAGCCAGGAAGTTGCAGCATCTTTTAACTGGTATGATAGTAAGCCTAGGTCCATCAAATTATTGGTACTTGAATAATAAGGTGATGGCTATGATAGCCTGACTCCAAGACGAACTTCAGACGTTTATAAGGCAAAAAATATCTATCAAACGCAAATTCTTGCGTTAATAATGAGTAATTAGGGAATTAAATTAGAATCAGAGGAAGCGAAAAATTGTGAATGAGAAAGAAGTGGTTGAAGGAAAAGTTCTGTTAGATAGTGGACATGAAGATAAAAATGTTGGCTTTAGACTTGGTCACAGTCTCTTTTTGTGTTGGTTCGCAACTTGTTCGGAGCAACAGAAAGACATTGCGCAACATATTATAGTCCTTTGCCATAATATTGATTAATAATTTCCTGTGTCTGACCGTTGACTTGGCTGAGCCACAACGGCTGCACAACATTTTCAAGGGAATTGCCTCCAATTATCACTTTGATCAATTGTAACTCCGCGCTAAGGATGGGGCCTCTCACGACTATGCCG